AATTTAGATATGTGCCATAGTTTGGGGAAAACTAACAATCACTCAGTAAGAATATACAGAAATTATTATGATCGGTCCTAAACAATTTTCTGCATTCTTTCATTCCTTGTAGCTACTACCTAACACTCTACTGGTACAATTTAACTTAATGAAATACAGCTGAAATACCCTCTAAGAAAGAGAGGATGAATATGCAGAGTTGGATCGTTGTGCAGTGTATTTATCGAGCACAACACAATCTCCCAAAAATGCCCAGAGTTTTCTTTCTGTTCATAAACAGCTCCCGCAAAGCTTCTACCTGGCAACACCACTATTTATAGTGTTTAATTTTTATACCCTTATACTAAGATTAGAAGTAAATACTTCTCACTCCATTCATGGGGCAGTAAGCTGGAAGTGGGTCAGTCACAGAACACGAGCTGGGGAAAGAGCAGTCTGAATCTCATCAGCCTGACGTTTGGCAAATCGTTTCCCTTCCCTGGCTCACTTTTCCTCTTCCTACTTCCCGCTTTGCCATTAGTTTGTCATTTCTGGAAGGCAGTAATGTCTCTCTGTACCTCTGCAGCACAAAGCACAGCTGTGCTCCACACACACAGACCTTGAGCCACAACCATAGTGCAACACGGAAAGATCCATTGTGCACCAGAGAGGGCCATGTTCTGCCATCCTGTCTCATGCTTGCACGGTGCACTACGCCGTGAGAAGTCCTGTTGAAAACCACAGGACTATTTGCAGAACAGGGCACTATTCAGAATGAATGAATGTGGCAGAATTCCTCCAATTATTTACTTTTCATCAACACCTGAGAGTCTACAAGAAACAGAAAGTTCTCTGACATGTACACCCCCCCATATGAATACACACAAGGAGGGCGCACACGCTCCTCCATAAAGAACCAGACCATTTTTGCCCGCACTGTACCCATAAGGATGCATTCATTCCCCAGTCCCCTTCCATCCTGACACAAAATGGAACGTATTGACATCGGGTAAATTCTCTGCCAACCACAGAACCCCAGCGCTGCACCAGTTCAGTCTGCAGCAAAGCTCTTGGCTTGTACTTGTCTTTCATGCTTGATTGTATGGAGCCAGCCTGTCCCCCAGGGGAGGTGGAGGTAGAGGTGAAAGCAGCAGCAGCAAGAGGGATAGTTCATGACTCCCAAATACATTTTTAGCAAAGCTGACATGAGCAACAGCTACACAGAGCTGCTGCCAGAGCATACCATGAGTTTGTGACCACAGATCTAAATCAGAATTGTCCCAGGAGTTCTTGAATTTCTATCCAGACAAGCTACAGTATTGAGGGCCTTCCTCAGCCACAGCTGAGAGAATACCTAAACCAAGCTATCTCCTGTGAAGCTTTAAGAAAAACAAAGAAAAGAAATTCTCAGTGCTTGCGCTGCACTAGCTACATGTTTGCTCAGAAGTCCTCTTCGGTGTCACCCAAAAAGAGGGTAGCAAAAAAACCCAGTGTATATATATATTTTTTAACAGAACAAAGCATGCTGAGTAACTTTGCAGCGATGAGGATAAGCAGATTCCCTCACATAAACAATCAAAATGCTGGTGATCATTCTCTCATATGGAGAAGTCTGCTTAGGAGCTACTATCACAACCAACAACAGTGGCGATGGGTGGGAGTAGAAAAACTCTTCAGTACATTTCCAACCTGGAAAAGTATTACCTGTTAATGCTCGTGAAGTCCAAACACCCCTGTTGACATTACTGGGATCATCTCCTTTTCTTCTGTCAGAGACAAGCAAGACTAAAACCCAAATTTGTAATACCGCAGGGCCCCCAGCTCAAACCAGCCCAAAGTAAGGTTTTGGTGAAACTGAGCTGGCACGAAGAATGACTGACGGAGGTCTTCATACAGTGAAGGGGAATTGAGTCACATGCATCTGGCCTCAGTAACCTTCAGAAGGAAGGTGGATGGGGCATAACCTTCACACGTAGCACAGAACTGACATTTTCAGCTTTGAAGGAGCTAGCAAGATCCCGGCTGAAGATGAGAATCACTCACATGAGAGCATGGACACACTAAGATCAAGAGAATACAAGAAGAAGTTGAAGTGAGGAACTGTGCTATAAAGAGTTTCACTTCACTGGACTGCTGGGAAGAACTGAAACAGTGCAAGGAGTTCTCCCTCACGCTCCGTGTGAAAAGCAGGCAGGGTGTACAACTAATTTCAGTGACTGTGAGGGCAGAACAACTCATCTGGTACACTGATAACATCAACAAGGGCTATCCTATGGAAGAGGAACTCTTAATTACGATAGTTTAATGCTCTGATTGACCTTTGGTGCTAAAGATATTGAAGTTTCACAAAAAGAGTCTTTGCCTGATTTTTCTTACTGCTGATGTTCAAAAACCATCATGACACAAAAGCATGTCATCTGTAAAAACATACAGGTAACCCAGAACTCTCACAAGCTCCAAACCAGGCCAGAGGAAAGAGGAGGTATCTGTCTTTTGAACAGCACTAACCCACTGAACTTGCAAATCATCCCACTTGTCCAACCCCCAGACTGTCCTGCCTGTTTCTGATTAGCTGCTTCTTCCTTCACTTTCACCATTAGCAACTATCTTCTATGGAAAAACAGGGCTTACGCGGCCTTCAAGCACACCTTTCACAGTAGTCAAACAAATCCAACATATATAAAAATTGCATGCCAAATTAATTTTATCCAGCAAAGTAAGGCTTTACATACTACCATGTTCTGCACTGCTTAGAGGTTATGGGTTTGTACTTGTCAAAGAAAGACAAGTGTGATTTATTATTGTGTGACCCCAGTCATCTGCTCGTGTAATTACACTTTAATCAATAGAGCTAAATGAGCATGAAAACAGAGTAATGCAGGCATGCATTAGACCCCACGTGTTTGAAGATCACCACCCTCACCCCCACGACTCTATTAATGCACAATTCCTACTGCATATCAAAGGGGTTTCCTTCGGAAAGGCAATCTCTTCAAGTCTGATACACTTGCCTGACCACTTTCTGCTGTACCCAAGTTCATCTTTCACACATTTATACCTATGACACCTCTGTGTATCATTTCCACCTTTCAGGTGGGAAATTCCAACAAAAAGAGCAGGGCTGCTTACCTATCTTAGTCATACTGAAATAACTGGAAATTTGTACCATTTTACAGGTATTTGGACACTTCAGTGACTTAATTCAAACTATACAAGACTCTGTGGACAAGAATGTGTGCGCCCCAATTCCTGCATGTGGCCCTAGCCCCAGATGTGATCATATTTTCTTACAGCTTATGACAACTTGGTGGAATTGACAGCATTAGGTTAACAGTTGGACTCGATCTTAAGGATCTTTTCCAACCTAAATGATTCTATGAACTCGTAGCATAACAGCTGATGACGTACCAAGCAGTGAGCATGAGAACTCTGCCAGCAAAGTTTCTGGAAATACCAAGCCATTCATCAATTCGTATCATTAAAGGTTTTGCCAAAGCATCAGCCCTCTGTGATATTTACTCACACCTTCCCCCACCTGCAGATCCCAGCATGATTGATGCATTTGTGTTTTACGGTAGGAAGTGAGAGAGGCTATGTATGAAAAATGCCTGAAGGCAGAAGGAGTTTCTGTTTCAACACCACTTGCTCATAAATGAGAATCTACAAGAAGCAGACAAGGATTCCTAATTCATATAGCTTATATTCATGTTACAAGCACAAAACAACCAACCATGACTGACAACTGTTTTCTGTTAAAGGCTAAGAATTACCAGCAACAGCGGGTAAATACGCTGTCAGTGTCATTCACCCACTTCTTGTATGAGCCATACAAACAACAAAAAAAGCAATAGTTACTGCTCACTTTCTTTACAAGAAAGACAGCAAGTCCTCTTTCATCGCACTTAAAAAGTCTAATACATATGCCAATCACCTTATATGGCCATATAATTGAAAAATTAGGTAAAAACATTGGAAGTGTTATGTCCCTGAAAGATTACACGCCGCTCTGCATATTAAAGGTATGTCTGTATGTTCTGTTCCTCTGTTGACAGACTTACCATTCTAATACTAAACTTAGAAAAAGATTGTAATTTCCAGGACTCTGGTCCTTCACAGCTCTTCAACACACGCTTAATGTTTAGTGGAACTATTTATAAATGCATAAATTTTGCTGGACTGAGCAAGAGTACTTTTGCACCTTTTATAATGGACCAACAGTTCGGAAATGAAAGATAGTGCCCCAATGCTCCCCAGTCTCACTGCACTTTACTGAGTCTTTTTACACCCGTGTTGTATTTGTAACAATAACGCTTAGAATCACTATTTTATGCCAGCTCACCCCAGGGATAAAAGGGTTCATGGCAAGGAAGAAAACCAAAATCACCTCAACTATATGCCCTTCACGCTAGTGACAGGCAAATTAATCAGCTTTGAATACCTACTCTAGCAAGCACATAGGTTCCTAAACTACTAGCTAAAATAAGAGTACTGACATAAAGCTCAATTCTACCAGTCTTGAAGGACAACAGGTTGAAAACCAGATACCCCACCATCACAAAACAAGACAGATAACGTATTTCTCATTAGAATAATTTTTTAGAAAGTTGCGTTGACCAGATCTGGCTGAGAAGCAGGAAAATGTGAACCAAGATCCCAGCAATTCTTTCAGTCAGTCTCAGTAATACAGTTTCTCTGTTTATTTGAGCCTTTACACAGTGCTGCTGGACTCTGCGCTGAACAAGCTTTTGGCTAACAGCGCCTTAAGCACAGATGGGTCTCTGACCTTATTTAGCAGGGATTCTCCTGAAGACATTGCTGTCTGATTTTACAATATTTGATTCAAACGGTTCAGTGACTTGGCCAGGGCATGTAACCCACTTTTTTAATGCTTGGTTTTTTAGCAAAGCTCATGCTTATTAACCACTAATAAATTTTACTTAACATTGAACTCCCCTACCACTAATTATCTGTCTTAAATGGTAACCAATTGTGAATAACAATAATAATAAAAGATCCATTACCGATTTCCTCTCTTGTTTCAGCTCCTGCACATAGCGTGTTAACTCTCCAGTGATCAGAGAGGTCATGTTCTCTGAAATGACCTCATGCTGTCCGGCATAGTCATTCATTTCATTTAAAGTGGCTAGGAAGGCTCTAGTTGATGTATACCTGCAAAGGACAAAAATGCATTTGGCTTTTAGTCCCTTTCTTTTCAGAAAGACACACTGCAGAGGGAGGCTGTATCCTACCTAAGCATTTAGTATTGCTGCATGAGACTGAATATGGATTAGCACATATTCACTTGAAGGAATTTCTCAAAAGGAAGCCTATCCCACACACTGACAGTTGTCTGATAAATTAATCTCGATTTAGACAGTTTGACATTGGCTCTTAACATATCACAGCTTTAGAGCGTCAGGGTTTTTATCAGCACAGCTCTGAGACTTCACTGTTCTAATCGCTATTCACCAAACATTTCTAGTTCTATTCTTTCAAGTCCTACAAGTCAGCGCACAGAGTCATCAGTGTACTCTGTACTGGCAAAATCCTGTCTAAGCAACTAACTTTTTGGCTAGCATAGTGCAGAAAATAAAACTTATCATCGCGTAAATTGGATTTTAATCAGCTATAGCTTAAAAAGTTTTCAAAAAAGTAGCAAGTTTACTAACTGGGTGTTCACTGTATACCCATATTTTTTAGTACCTTCCATCGCAAGGTTTATTTTTTGTATAAAATAATCTCCAATACAGCATTCCACATACTATTAGAAGGAAGAAACAAACATCTGTGCATGCAACTTCAAAACAGAAGATTATGTCACTAGCATGTTCAGCACAGCGCTAACAGAGCTGCATGTAAACACCCCAGCTGGCTGTGCTGGTCAGCTTGGAAACAGCAGCTCTGAAGCAGTGCACTTGTACACACTAGAAAAACTGTTAGTATTAAATGGTAGCAGTCTGTATTGATAACATCACCTAAAGGTGAAAAGGCAAAGCAAAGAGGGAAAGATCTAGTGGAAATAGAGAGGAGTGGTACAAGCAGGGATGAGAAAAGGCAGAAAAAAAGAAACTAAAAAACAGTCCAATACAAGCAGCCACAGTCAAGCTGTGGTGACTCAAGAGAAATCCCAGTTGCAAAACACAGGGGATCAGAGCCACAGAACTACAGGCTTGACAGAAAGCTTGAAAACAGATTGTTTTTAGACAGGCTGTATCAAAGCAGTGTCCAAGGCACCCAAAGGTCATATGACAAATTCTCAGACATTATTTAAGACATGATGAAACTATGCTGAGGTGAACACTGTATTTAAAAGGGCAAAGGACACACAGGATCTTCTGTGCCACATCACATGAATCTTAACTCCAGTATTCTTTTCCAGCAATGAAAGATGTGTCAAAAAAGGTTGTAGTAAACTCAAAATATCCATTTATGGTATAGCTACCCAAAAGCAGATTTATTCCTAGTCCCAGGTAGGGACCAAAACAGCTGATGTGCTAGTAACATAAGCTTCCTTGTGTAAACATTAATATCTCAGGAAACAGTGGCAAAAATAACATTCCCAAACAATGTTAACTAAAAATAAATAAAAAAGAAAATGAAAAGGCTTCTATCTCTGTTAATACAAGACACTAGAGTAACTGTATACAGCAACTTGTGGGTCTGACCCAAAAATCTAAATTAATATAATCATACACTTGGATCCGTATCCAAACTCATTTGAAATGTTTCAAATTTCAAGGTCAAGGGTTTGAGTCTGCTGCCAGGCTCTCCAGAGGCAGAGCAGCCTCCTGCAATACAAGGGTGCCCGGTCAGACCCTGCGATGCCTTCATTCAAAGCTGATGCTTTCCAAAACACAGACATTGCGAAACTTCAGAGTGCTCTGAGGAAAAGGTTCTTGTTCTGGCTTACAGCCTGGCTGTTGGGAAGCTCCTCCTCTAGAAAAATCTCTTCAAAGAATATCTTTGATCTCCTCAAGGGCACGACTGTTCCTAATGACATGTGGTCTGTCGTCACCTGTATCCATGTCCCTAGCGTCACTCGGTGAAGGAGCTGTACTTTGACGCTGCAGTCGCTACCTGCGAGCACTACATTAATCCCCGGCCAGCAGGGAGATGCAGTCGGAATACGTGAATCAACAGCCGACAGCCAAGGCTGCGCAACATCCTTCAACAGCAGCAAGTCACACGTCAATCCATCCCAGGATACTGGGAGTACAAACTACATCCTTCACCTTACTCTTCAAGAACCACTGGTTTCTCTGTGATGTTACAACATTATCCCATTAGTAAGTTACTAATCTGTGCTGTCAGTCCATTTGAGTAATTTAATACTCAAAGAGCCAGGATCATACAGTCTGGCTAAAAGTTTTTCTTGCACATGCACACAAAACAACAACAAAAAAACCAAAACAACCAGGCATCCAGAAACCACAATGTATAAAGGGAATTGAGTAGTTACAGGCCAAATCCAAAAACTGAAAATCCACTCCTTACTATCTACCATATAAGCCTGTTTCTACATCTATGATTTCTATACTCTTACACATGCTCAGTCAGCACTGAATTATGAACATACCTGTATTCTTCCTCTTCTTTGGAGTTCTTTTTGGGTTGGTATTTCTTTGAAAGATTCTTAAAATTAAAAAAATATATATATAAAATTAAATTTAAAATCTCCTTTATATTAGCTGGCTAATCTTTGCATGCACACACATTCTGTGGGGCTTCAGTTTTTATTTGCAGTGACAAGACACCTTTCAGAAGTATGACTGCAATTAGCCTTTGATTGCATTGCAGTAGCACTCAAAAGAACGGCCCACACAGTGCTTCAGTCTCTATAACCCCAATAAAGTAGCAGATTCCTAAACCAAGAAGTCAATAAATTAAGGTCATTCATTAAGTCAATACACCTGAGTTCTGGTTCTGCCAATGCACAAGTCTCCTTCACCTGATCTAAAGGAGAGACTCTTTTACAGCAAAAATACTGGTCCTTAGACACACAGGCATGCTTTACAAACTCCACCCAGTAGAAGGTGCTACTCCATATCCAAAGGTCAGCTGGCACGTTAAAGTGTGATTTGCTGCAGATGACACTCCCAGCCAGGCAAATTTGCCTGCATTTAGCAGGATGCTTACAAGGAAGAGAAAAATCTTCATAAAGCTGTGGGAAGCTGCACTGAGATGACAAAAGGGGGATCATTTTATGATTATCAACTGATGCTCGGAGAAGTGTGAAATTTGAAATTTGATTATCCCAATTAGAACAGATGCTTGCATCTCTCATTACCCCACAGCCAACTAATGATTTAATTTCAAAATACTGATATGCTATTCAAGCGATCATATCTTGAATAAGAAATTGGAACATAACTCTTCTAGCACATTGGACAGACAGTACATAGCCCTCACTGTCCTGCCAGTCCCCAGCCAGCAGCACATCGAGGGTTTGGGTGGTTACCACACATCTGTTAAATCCAAACACACCTTGCTGACACTTACCGCTCAGTGCACGCTGCACTCTAGCACAATACCACGCATCTTTTACACAACGCAAACCAGAGAGCTGACAAATCTTACTTAGCAATGTTAAGACCTTTTCAGTGCTGCAGTACTCTGTCTCCTCTATTCTAAACTCAGCCCTAGGATTATATGCCTTCCTGCAGCCTCTGTCACCCTATTGTGAAATGGAAGCCATTTGTTTTAGCTTTACATGGTTGTTTCAGCAATTAAGAATAACATAGAAGTGGTCTTGACAGAATCGTTGTCCAAAGGACTACCAAGTTTCATTGACCTATCTGTGCCAAACGCTTTGGAAGACTCCCAGAAGACACACAGTTGAAAAGAAACTGCTTCTTCAGAGGTTTAGCCCGCTCCTTGCTGCATGCTGGTTTTACTGCTAACTGGGAGACAGCAGGGCCTCTTGTCTCACACTTCTTTCCTTTTGTTCTCCTTAAGGAATTAAGGAGCATCTGTCCAGAGTAGTAGCCAGAACTCTGGCAGATTTGCACAGACAAATATGTGTTTCTCAAAATGTAAGTACCCCTATTGGAAAGGATCCAAATGAGCATCTGCCTTCCAGTCTTCACCTTCTCTGAAAGCGGGATGCTCTGAAACCATGAACTTTTCTCTAGTTCTGTGTACAGCAGCTTCAAACAAAGACGACCAGCACGGCAAGAACTCTGCACGCTGTTCTGCGTGATTACAGTAAGTCTCATAGCACTCTTCAGATGCCATGGGAATGCCTCCCTTCACACACCTGCTTGAAGAGGAAAGGAAAAACCACAAGAACACATGCACAGAAGGCTACACTAATAAGGCATTTTCACACGTGCTTAAAGCGCATGTGTGTCTGCACTATCATGCTGCCCAATTAATGCTGACAGAGCTACTGCCTTCTCATGAACTTTCAAAGGTGTTGAAACGCTACAGAGCTAGAGCAAAAACATCCAGAGAGTACGCTTTCACAGAAGAAAAAGATTCTGAAGTCATATAACAACGATTAGCATCTGGGTTAAACATTTTATTATTTTCTACGTGCTTTATAAAGTACATAAAATATAGAGTCTATATATTTGAGGGTTTCTTCCTCTCTTTTAGTCAAAAATACACGTAGGGTTTTAACCAGGATACACACAAAAAACCCAGAAGTGATACTGAATCCAGAAGTGATACTAAATCCAGTAAGGGTCAATATGACTCTTGCAAGCTGAAGTTCAACATACAGTCGTGCAGTGTCATGACGAGACCACCAGCACTCCCCAGATTCAAGCTCATGAAGCAATGACACCTTCAGAGCTAACTGCAACTAGAGGGAACTAACACATAAGAAGAAAGATCAGCAGTAAAATAGCAATTCTGAGAAGGTTCTGTGCCAGCCTGTGCACCTGTCTCCAATACACGTTTCTATTTGCCTTTCACTCGGCTTCATTTTTTCCTGCCTTTCCAGCTTGTTTCTCTGCTCCCTTATTTCCACTTCTTTGACATCCTGCTCTTTCTTTCACATTTATCATCAATTCTCAGATTATTCTGGTATCTTACACATTTTTTTTTTTTCCAATACGTCTTCCACATCTATCCACTGTCACATTAGGCAAGGCTTTTGACGCGCTTATTGACGCTCGGTGCATGGATTGCCAGGTAAGTGGTGACCAGGGAAGCAGGACAACGGAACACCACTTGGGCACTCGGAGCACAGCGTCCAGCACGTCAACGTCCGATGGAAGTTCAAAACAAAACACAGGAACAAGTGAACACTCTACCATAGCTTTTGCATCCCTTCCTTCCCAACCTAGTTTAATGACTCAACAATTATAATGTAAAACAATTAGCAAAACAATCGTGTCAAATCTGAACTGGACTCTCAAACCAGGAGTGACTGTAAATGGTACAAGCAGGACTTGAACAGGTGCAGGCACAATGCAGAAGGTATGTGACACCGGGGAGTTTCTTCCACTGCTGTAACCAGATAAGCTGGATGCATCCTGCAAGTATGGAGATCTAACTTCACACTTTTAAAACAAAATATTACATATATATCTGCAGAATTATAAAGAGAAAGGAAAGAAACATTTTTAAATAGAAGCCTATTAAACTTTGACAGATGACCAGGCTGAGATGTAGATAGTTAGGCAGGAAGAATAGCCAGCTTGGGAGCCCAGAGACCAAGCAGAAAACACAAGTTTCACAAAAGAAAATAAAGTTGAGGAGGTTTACTTACACTATAAACAAAACTGAGTTAAATCCACAGGAGTATCTTGTATTAACTTGTCCCTTTTTAATAGCATGCCTGCATGTTATGACATGCAGTAATGTGCTGCAGCCCTTTGACACCAAACGGATGTGATACAAGAAAGGTCTGCACCCAGCTCAAGGAGACTTACTAAAAGCAGATGCATTTTTTTGTTTTGTTTGTTTTGTTTTTTTTAATGTCCAGCACTGTATTATCTCAACTGTGACAAGTCTACATTTTTGTTTTTTCTCTTATACCTTTAACTTCTCAGATGACTCCAAACAGCACTGTGTTTAAGAGCGCCTCAGGGATGAATGTATTTGTCCTCAAATCAGACTGGTGGGCAGGGGGACAAATGCAACTATGTGTGGGGAATCAAAATACAGAGAGAAGAAACCAGTTGACCAAGTTGGGTTCGGAAGTCTAGGACAGAATAAGAAATAAAACTCAGGAGTTCAGAGTTTCTAGGTAGTTTTACATGTAAAACTACTTCCCACTTTCCTTAAACGTTTTGTGTGTTTATTTTCATAATCAGTTCTTATCTCCTGAAATTTGTCACCTTAAGAAATTCACTGAGTCTAGTGCATGATTCTTCGTAAGACCCGCTTACACAGACACTCTTCTGGGGTTTCCCAGCCCAGTCATTCTTCCAGCTCATTTTGCCTCTGTAACTCAATCTCTTCTCATCTTCATAGAATGTGAGCAATTTGTTCCTGTACAAGTAATTTTCTATTTCCTGCTCGTCCATAGCAGAAACCCTGGGGAATCCTTGTGGCATTCCCCTGAGAAAGTACATAACCATAAAGGCAGGGTTTTATCAACTACCAGCTCCTCTTAAATAACAGGCCATTGTGCATCTCAAATCCATTCTAACACAAGCATCAAAAATTCAGGTGTGTGGCTGTTTTTTTTAAATGCACGTTGTACTTTAGGTAGATACAGATCAGCTAGGACTTCAGATCTCAACATCTATAAATACTGAGAAGACAGAAGGAGTTCTAATATGTATTATAGCAAAACAAAACAAAAAAAAGATGTATGGATTTACTGGAGGAGTTGGGAAGGGTCAGTCCTGCACTCTCCTCTCCAGCTACCTCCGCCACTTCCAGTTTATCACCCTGGACACTTGTGTCTGCCAGCAATATTGCACCACAGCCTCTCTCAGCAGCAGCAGGACTGCCTGGGTGTTGTACTCCCTTTAACCCATTCTCCCCTTGCATTCTTTCTACCCTAGTGGGAAAAACAGGGTAAGAGCTACTTGTTGTGGGAGGGTTCTTAGTACCCCTTCCCCACTTACATTGGATCTGACCTCAAGGAATATGTTTTCTGGGTCTGGTTCACATACATTCCTCTACCTACAACCTGATGGCTGAACCAGACATGTAGAACGTACCTAGCAGGAATTTCCAGTAATTTAGCTACTTGAGATAAATTCACAGGATCTCTGCTCTGTTCATGAGACACATCACAACAACAGTGCCAAGATCATAAAAACATCAAAATTCAAATCTCTGGGTGCAACCTGGCTAACTACATACATGAAATCTCCAAGGGCGACCTGCAGTTTCTCCAACACGCATTCATACAGAGCCCGTCTTATGAAAAGAAACCCTCAACTTTGCCCTACAACAAATGATCATTATTCTGTTGAAGTCTTAAACCCTTCAGCATTCACATGCTGCAGTCCTAATTTCATGGAAAACATTATAATGCTGTCCTCAAAGCCTGAGCCAGTAATCATGCATAAATCGTGAGTAAGCCCTAGTATGCTACTCAGTCACCTAAATAACCTTTCTGTTTGCAAAGCATATGATTTTTAGCAGAGATAATAAAACAGTATCTTACATTAGCTTTAGCGTTCTATTCTCTACATTATTCTCCACTAGCCATTACTATAAACCAAACAAATTACCACCACTGAAACAGTAAATTTACAGATGATTACAGGCTTTGAACAGATGCAACTCGAAGTCCAGAAATGTACATATCAACTTACCTAAGCTGCTTTGCATAGCTGAGTTCAATCTCTGTTCTTTCTTTCACAAACTTGATGTACTTTTCCAGAACATCAATACCACATTGCGTGTGTTTTTCTAAGTTGTCAAACTGGTCCTGCAGTGAATCAAAAGAATAGTTTAGTCTCGCTGAACACAGAGATAACTAAAAATAATTTCCAAAGTGCATATCGCCATAAAGAAAGTGTTATTAATATTTTCCATTACTACAGTTTGAGATTTTTGTAGCAACACAGGTTTTTAATCACCGGAAATCTGTCTTTTAACATGAGACCAATTCAGTAACATTCTTCATTCCTCATTTCTGAATCAGTTTCATTTCAGAAATCCTGGCAATTCTACTGCATACAATCTTCTAATATAACGACATACTTGAAGGGCAAGAAACAGATACCCTCGCCAGTATTTTATTTTTCTCTGAAGAATTAACAGATGTTTCATGAATTTGGGGTCTACTCCTAATTAATAATTCTGATTTTCATCTGAAAAATACAGATTTAGACTCCAGCTTAGTCAGTGTTATGAATTCAAAATATCATTTTGAATAGTTACCAGTCTTTTGACAGAACAGAATTCACTTCCCTTATAGCCTGCTTTGTTTTAAAACAGAAGACACGCTAACAAATGATGCCATAAAACAATGACACTGGCTATTTTTACATAAGTTTTCTTGTCTACCTCCATTTATATACACATGCTACTTTGTTCTTCAAATATTGTTGCCCTGAAAAACAGTCACACATGTTTTCAATAAAATCTTTTTCAATCAAGAACATTCCACAAGTCAGTTTGGGATTTGCAAATGCCAAGAGAAATTAAGCAACCCCAAATCCAAATTAATTATCCAAGCCAGCTTATTACTATCTGCAGATTTAACCTAAAATTACCTTATTTTTTAAGGTTTGGTTACTTCAACACCACTCAAATTCCACAATCATCCATTCCACACAGCACTGCAGAAGTTAATGTTTCTACAAGACTTGAAAAAATTTTTTTAACCTGTGATGCACTGAATACTTGTCCTGACAGAAACACAGTGTCAACAAGGTCTTTAATATCAGCCTGACTTCTGTGACATCAGGTTCCATTATGGTTTACATGGAAAACAAAGTATAAGTTTGTACATCTGCAGTGCAAAGGTTAGATTTACAACATTCTCCAAAAATTGTACACAGCCTTAGATTTGGGTCTGACGCTTAGCTGCCGCCATTAAAGCTTCCAACAGAAGCGATGCTTCTTTCCGCCTGCCAAAGATCTGGTCTTGTGATTCAGTTTGTGGAGCTATCACCGAATGTTATCAAAGCAATACAAGCCCACTTCCTTAGATGCACAGAATACAAAAATAACAGAAAGCTACTACAAAGCCTAGTTTATGAATATGTTGCTTTTAAGCAAATACCACTTTCTGCTTTGTAGCCTGTCTGGCTCTAAGTTAGATCGGTATCAGGAGAGATTCCTCCAGCATTGAACAAAACAGTCGTGTGCACAGAAGCTGCTACTCGCTAACAAAACTGCTTTTAACTGCACTTTGAAGGGGAGAAATAGAAAACATGTTGGAAGAGGAAATCTGCAAAACCCTAGCAAGAAGCACATTAAACCAGCAGGTAATATGCACGGCATAGGACACACAGGGTTGGTGTAACTGTGTATTTGCTCTGGTTTAGCATAAGGTACTATTTTAACCCAGTTCAGCCAAACCAACTACGCTTCAGCTTAAATTATGTTAGTATTTGTCAATTAAAGAGTCACTGGAGGGAGAACAGCAAAAGGGCAATAGTATAAAGTTACAAACATAGTAAAGAACTTCTAAGCCCCGTGCTCCAGGAACTAAGAAAAAGTAGTTTAGGGCAACTGGAAAAAAGATTCAAAGTACACAGAATAAATGCCTGACTTCCAGCAATATAAATCACCCTTAACCCAATGGAACATCGTTCACTCAAAAAGAGGATGCATGTATTCTGCAGAAAGGTAAGACATGTACTCAGCCAGTACATATTTGCATATAGACAAATCCTCGTTTCAGACAATCTCACAGCTGGGGAGAATACAAAGACGACCTGGGTAACATCACGGACCGCTCCTCCTCCCAGAGGGCTGAGATCAGGAACATGGTGTGCGGTCTGGAGTACGGTGCCAGAACAACGAGGCACCTTCTGCTCTGCTTCAAGTATACAACCTCTTAAATCTCTCAGATTATGCTGGCGTCAAGAAAGTAGTGCAAACATGGCCTTTTTAAGGTTTCTGATAAAGAGGTCTTAGAGCTATCCCACACCCTACTCTTCCACAATTTACATTATTTTACATAAACACATGCATATAAAATAAATACCCCACGAGGCAGTCCATTACTCACAAGTTTACATGCATTCACACACACTCCCAACTCTGAGAAGGGAAATCTCCGGGAGAGAAATCCACTCCCTAATCCCTGTAAGCAAATTAAACCACCCTTATCAGATATACCATACTAGTAGCAAGAAACTAAGTTAGCATCCTACTGTAACCCCATCCAAAGAGGAAAGACCACGGTTTCCCACAGGAAAGAATGCCTTTCAAGGAGATCCTACCCTTTGAGAGAATTCATACCGCTGACCGCACAGAAAGACAGAGCAGGTTCGCCCTGGAAAGGCAATCTTGGTGATGGCTTGTTCAAACCTTTTCCACCACCCTGACTCAATTCGCAGAGCATCATTTGGATCCGAGTACGAGTAAAAACCTGAAAATGACTCCAGGTAGCTGCCTGGTCTATTATCGCATAGATGGATCTGCTGGACTGCTTCAGCGGCCTCACTACGTCGAGTCTGGTGAAATCAAACTCCATGTTGTGCACTGCAAAGGCGAATGCACCGCGGCGCAGCTGTCAGACAGACCAACTGTGTGAAGATGCTAACTTTCTATTTATAAAGTGAGCAGAGACGCTTGTCCTGCGCTGAGCTGTAACCAGAAGAACCTCAACTAGAGAAACTACAGGCACTGACCTCTGCTATCAAAAGGCAAGGCAAGGTGAAATTTAGTTCCTTTCTTCAGACCTTGCTTAAGGGATGAGTTTCTGTTCTTTTCCAGGCATTGAACAGTTTTGGCCCGAGTGCCATTTCAGAAAGCAGCCAACGCCCCACAACAGCGTGCTACGCTTGGGTCATGTATTCCATTATCAGTTCTCTTTTCTGTGTTCCTTAAGGATGAAAACAGTCAGTAAAATTGGCAACGCCATCACTTGCCAAGCGTGAGATTCCAAAGGAAAGGCAGTGCAGCCAGAGGGACCTAACACAGACAGCCCTCCTTATTTCAAGTAGCAAGCTGAAGGTAGGGAAGGGCTCTGTGTTAAAGCTAATGAAGCAGTGATGAGAGCACACAGAATGCTTTGATCATAACACACAACCCTTAATTCATGGAATTCCAAAGTCCAGGGATACAATCAATGCAAAACCAGAACTTCTAAAATGGAGATTTTTGAGAGTAGTTACCAACAATATCATCCCTTCAATCAACAATTAAAAGATTTTTTTAAATTAATTTAGTATTTCCAAAGTTTATCACAAAAATTCCACATGAGATCCGAGAAGTTTATAAGAATCTCAACTATTCTGTTGTAAATTGGGTCTAGTTTTAGTATTCCAAACCTTGTGAGGGTTCATCTATCTCAGCTCAGGAGGAACTTGGCTCTACAACCTGGAGCAGCCAAATCAGAGCACCACATGGTTTCAGCACAAAGCCCACCATCCCTGCCAGCGACGGATCCAGGTTTAGCGGGTAACACTTGCCCCTAGAGCTGTGCAGGTTGAGCCATCAGCTGGAAGTCAGCTCAGGTACCTCCATGAGCTGCTGTTTCAGCTTTCAGTTTCAATGTACGTATTCTCCTTCATTTATTTTTGCAGCCTCCTCGCCCTTCCATTTAGGGATAACATTAGTAAACAATAAATTCCACAAGGCTTTAGCATTCTTCAAGAAAAGCAAGAAAACAAGACAAGAAGCATGACACAGTGTTCAGCGAGAATGCTCCCAACAGACCACAGTGAAGGGGGAAAACAAAAGTTCACTTTACACCTGTTTTCTCTGAAAAAGAAACACCAAAACATTTCTAGAAGCATTCACTACTTTCCTCTGACTCACAGACTGGCTTACATATAAGAACACACTTGAGCAAAACGCTGTACTGACAACGAGCTCTGTATCTCAGCAGGCGCCCATCACAGCCTTCACGTTATTGTCTATGTCCTTTGGCCTTCCAACCCGCCAAATCTCATGTTCTCCCATTTTCAAGTCTCTAGACTTACTTACTGTGGTATCAACGGCTTACTACAAAGAATAGATTTTTGACTGACAATCAAGATGTGCACATAATTAATCTACTCATATAGCTGTAACTTGTCCCTCTTCAGATACCACCAGCTTTGCAAGGACAGCAACGCATGCCCGTAGAAGCACTACATGCCTTCCCCAAGTGATGGAGAAGTTTGAATATACAGCTGATGCACCTGACTTCAGGTGGGTGGGAAAGCAGAGCCTCTGCTGCAAGCTGCTTGGAACAAACAGCATCTTCCTATTTGTTCAGAGCTTAACGCGTTTTTGAGCATGCACACAAAAATTAAAGCTCAAAAGTGGGAAGAACAACTTTAGTCATTAACTTAAATGGGAATTGGACAACCAAGTACCCAGAATGCTTCGACAATTTTCTCCCTAAGGCAAAATCTAATTTCATTTCTGTTTCCATTAATTTCTAACTCTCTAACTTCATTTCTGTTTCCATTAATTCTCTCCTGATATTTTTACCACTGCCCAAATAACCTCACATTCGTGCATTCTTTCTGAAACTCGGCTGCATGCTTGTTACACTGACAATGCTTAAAATGGAAATAGTGCTGCCTATTTGCTTTTCCTCATTTTAACGGCTACTTTAAGCTGTCAAATCCCTTCACTTCTCAACTGTTCTCCTGAAGTCAAATTCCCCAGCAATGCAAAGTATTTTGGGAATAAAAAGTTAGCCGTCAAAAAAAAAAAAAAAAAAAAAAGCAGCTTTCTTCCCATTTCTAAGCCACATAACACAGAGTACAACCAATTATTGAGCAATAAAGAAAGTGTTATTCCTGTGGTCTTTGAAGATCAGCTCAGTACGGTCTGCCTTCCTCTTTCAGGACTGTTTCCATTTATTGCAAAAGAGTTCAATCCAAACCTCAGTCAGATCCAATGATTAATGGGACCTTAACTTGCCACCAAGGGGCTTCAGCCTTAGAATTTAGTGAAACAAAGGGGGCGAGTTACAGCCTCAGGCTCTCTGCAGCCAGACACGGCTCACGCAGGTCGCTGTACTCCCCGCGTCTCAGAAGCGCTCTCACAAACAGAAAGGCTGACGACTTGAGTTCAGCTCCACACCACGCAGCTAGGCCGGAACTCCTGCGATTCCTATTTGGTTTCAAGGGTGAACAAAACGCTAGTTTCTGGGAGACTTTAGCAATTAATTCTGCAATTTTAATCATTATGTCAAACATGCTCAGACGACACTTAGGTGGCAGTGTAATATCTACCAGTACCCGGGCTGAACTGTCAGTCTTCCTGCTACTTCCACAGGTAGCAGCACAGCAGTGCTAAATTAAGAATGCTAATACAGAGACAAGTAGTGAGGGAAGAATATGCTGAAAATTCAGATGCCAGTAACAGAAAAACATAGCCTTTATATTTAGCATATTCTTACTATATTTCTTATCTGGCAAGATAATAAAAGACCCATTTTTCTTAAATATTAAAAATGTTTGAAGACTTTCTACTGCCTTGTTCACCAGGGAGTTTCATTCCATTTCCTCCCATAATGACTTGTTTATCCACTGTCCTAAAAACATAAGTAGGAATAGGGGCATTAAACGTTAATTTTCACCTCTGGTTCATACCTTCTCCTCCCACATCCCCTTTTTAAACACTCTCCCCCATTTCCATAGGCAAAAAGGAATTAAAGTGAATATCAAGAATACATCACAGTGTTCAAATTCTAAATTACTCTTTTTAGATACCATGGTTTAACAACTTCAAATTATAAAAATAATTAACAAGATGATGAGACCTTCATAGGCTCAGTTAAGTCCCACATGGCACTACAGTGCTAGCAGAGTACAACAGAATTCACATCACAGATCCTCAGAGACCTACAATAAAGCTATATGCAAATGTAACAGTCTTCAGGCAAATGAACAATGAAAGAAAATGCATAAAGTACAGGCTACCACTGCAAGAGCCTTCCAGAAAACAGAGATGAGCAGAAAATACAAAAGCACTTCAGCATCTGTTGACTCAGCCACTATTGATGAGAAACAACTTCCCACAGAAAACTTGTCAGCTATAGTTAGTGAAATCCTCAGTTAATGACAACTAAACAAACATCTGTGTTTATACATGTTAAGTATGTTAAGTACAAAATGGAGTACAGGACACTAACCTTTTGCTTCATGCAGCACAGACAAGGAGGGCTAATAGCACCATGGAAGACATCCCGATGTGACTGAGAAATCTCTTTTGGGTTTACATTAAAATGCTGCTGTGGCTTTACCGGTTGTTTTATAAATCTGTCCCTCCATTACCCCTGTATATCTGGTTCAAGTTCACAAAACTATTTATGATCACATGCATTTTTCATGCGGATCTCCTATTCACCCACATGTTTAATTTCATTTTACCCTTTAAGTATTAAACAAGTTCTTCCCGACCTTTCAACAGGCCTATTTCTGCACAAGCCAAATAATAAACACCCCAGAAAAATCCATCCTACTTGCCCACCTCCACTTGCTCTTCATCTTCATCCCTTAAACTCATTTTCCACAAAGCCCAAAAGATTTGTAACTATTCTTTTATCTCTCCTGATTCACCTCAGAACTTGATCTAGTTAGAAGGAAACAGAAATAGAAATAAGATTCGTAGCTGCACCATTAGGCAGAATGCATTTCAAACTTTGGGGCGGGGGGTAATCCCAGAAATCAAGAGTGGAAACAGACTGTTTTATGTTGAAATATCTTTTATGTTGCTAGATAAACTCACCTCTAATGGTCCTACTTGTTCCAATAAACTTTATGAATTAAGCAGTTATTGGTCTATATTTCAGCCTTTAAATGCTTACTCTTCAGTATTTTTGCAGTTCTAATATTTACACAAATTTTAATTTGGATTTAAAACAATGTTGCCCCAGTATAGCAGCCAAGCGTGGCGACAGGCAATAACCCTCTTAATTGCTCCTGAGACCAACCCCGCCCATCCCACCCAGAAAAACCACCCTCCACAAACCCAAGAGTGACCCCTCCTGCTAATTAAGCAGAAGTGCTGTCTCACAGGCAGGTTTCGGCCGTACCCTAACCCTGCCTTGATGGAAACCTGACTGAAGCCAAACCAGAAGCCCTTCTGAAAATAGCCACGTGAGCGTATGGCGCAGCGGCCAGCGCCTGGAGAGCAAAACAAGTATTACAGCCACGCTGAGGCAAGGCCAGTTCTGGGAGTACAACCAGATCGTCAGCATTGACAGGGAACAAATTAAATTGCAACATCTAACAAAAAGACCCACCTACAGTAAAGCTGCTGTACATCCCCCACTAACAAAAACACGGAGCTTGCCCTCGTACACCTCACTGTAGAGCAGGTGACGCACACCACCAGCCCCTAAACGCCGCAGAGGTCCCCAAGAGCAGGCCACAGCCCGCAGCACAAAGCCAAGCAGCAAGCTGTGGAAGTGGGGCAGGGAGGGAGAGGAGGGAGAGCAACTCCCACAGCAGTAGCATGGAGCACCAGGTGGGCAAGGGGACACCTCCGCCTGCCGGGCAGGGCCCCGGGAGCACAGCCCCAGCACCC